ACCGGAATATATTTATCAAAGAAATTATTATTTACTATCAATATAAAATTTTTTACTATTTTCGAAAAAGTATTAAGAAAAGTCTTGTATTATATAAAACATGATGTTCAAGATTTAAGATAATGCAAGCTTCAGGACAAAATTTATAATTGTTGGTCTCAAAAATGCAATGTAAAAATAAGATAATCCATTTTCGATGAATTTATAATTGATTTCAATTGAAAAGAAAAGTATCAAAAAGCTATTACTGCTAAAACATCAGCATCAATTAGTAAAATGATTAATATGACATACTATCCTAACTTCTCTGATCAAATGTGAGATAAATTTGATATAATAATATTGTCAAATTAATAGTGCAATGTCATTAAATTAGAAATATCAAATAATTAGCTGTGATATTCGCTTTTGGTTATATCAATCAATTTCTATTTATTTCTATCTTTATCTAATAACAATTATTAATCTTTTGATTGACTATTTGCTCTCGTCAAATAATATCTTTGTATTACTCACATTTAGCGCGTATGTAGCATTTTGATGAATGTCATAGAATAAAAACCCCTTTTTTAATAAAAGAATTATACAAAAAAAGAAAATAATAAAAAAATAATAGTAAAATATTTGTATAATAAAGAATGAGTAATATGTTTTCTCTGAAAAAAGTATTAAAGAATATATCTTGCATTGAATGGCAAGAAACAGAATTACCGGCTCCGGTTACCTTAAATTGAAAGAATAAATTATGAGAATCCAAGGTTGATTGTGACTTTCTCGCAAAATTTGCTTAAAGACACAATTTTAGCAGTGTATGTCTGTGGCAGCCCGTGACATAGACTTTAATTGAAGCAACAAACATTTTTTTTCCGTGTACATACTCCACGCAAGTGCGCGATATTCTTTCAAATTGATGATGTCAGCGGAAAGCATTCTCCAGGATAAAGCTGGACTCTATATATTTGTATTTGTACTTTTCCGCATGCAAATAGATATTACCGAGATTAAATATTGCTCGTGCTCAATTCCATTACTCTATTAGTTAATTTCTTTCTTCATATAATACTATTTTCTTTCAGCGTAAGACTACAAGTATAAAGTTAATCTACAAAGGCCTTTAATTTAAAACTTAAAATTATCCAGACCATGCGGGATTACCTAATAAAGAATCAAAAAATAAATTCTAAATTCTGCTTAACAGTGAAATATTTTGTGAGTTATTTAAATTTGTAACGTTTATTTTTTTTCATAACGCACATAGTACATCATCTTTCGAGGAAATGAAATGTCAAATTTCGGTACTTTCTCTTTTCTGTGCATCAGCGCGGAATAATGCATGAAGTTTTATAGAAAAGGGTGAGCGGGCACAGCAACAACGACGTCAAATGTCGGGAACAAAATTTCAACATTGTGTTCTCTTCACTAGGGATTAATATCGCTTTGCATATTTACATATTCAAGTAACGCCGCGTTTCTTGTCGAAGCAACGGAAAGAATATCGTTACTAAATCCACTCATTACTCTCGAACTAGCGTTAATAGTTGATGCTATAATTATGCGTAAACAATCACCATTATGTATGTGTCTGCGCAATCTTTATTATCTTTAAGATCTATAAGGGATTCAATATTTTTATAGTATATCAAGACAATTTGTAATACAATATCTGCAAATGCTAGATGAATCTTTAATTTTTATAAGTTTCTTTTATAAATACAAATATTTAACATAAATATACAGTTTATCCCTGCATTTAATTCATGATTATATTTTTTATAATACGGTAGATATAAAACAATATAATGTCAAGAACATTTTTATTAATTATGTAAACGATAGAAAAATTAATGTTAAATTAATTGTTCTTAAAATACAAAATATACGTAGCTCGAAACTAAACCGAACTAAATCAAATAAATTAAATGTGTTAAATCACACCAAAGAAAAAAAATAAAAATAAGTTTATGAAAGTTATATAGTATTATCAAAGTAATTTTGCAAAATAAAAAGACTGACGAGAAACGATACTATTTTATGGCGTGTATAAAACACTCGCGACGTGAGATTCCGTTTACTTTCTTTAAATTCATGGAAGAACAGAGTCGGGAATGGTATTCGCGAACATTTCCAGAATGTCGATATCGAGGAGACAGTCTAAAATGTCGGCGGCCTCGGAACGACGTTTAAGATCTGACGTTCGCAATAGGTATACATTCCTCCTGATAAAATTCAGTCACCCTTCTTCAACACTCTTACACTTTTGTCGTATCCATTGCTCGAAGCGCAGAGAACGAAGTACGAAGGGTCGCGACACGCGCGAGGCAAAAAAAGAACGAAGCATGAAGGAGAGAGTGCTGACAGAGGAAGGAAAGAAGGAAGAGGGAATACGGGGTGAATTACAGGATGCGTGGCTGTTTCCCTCCGGGTCGTCTCCATTCCACATTTTTTCCCCAATAGCTTTTCACGAACTCAGATACTGCATTATATGCGAATTTCATAACAACAAAGATAAATCTCTGTTGTTTTCATTATTGACTTTAGCAAGAGCGATAAATATATTACTTTTTATCGGAGATTTAATAAGCCCCGCAATTATTAATATAAATATATTAAATTAATTTTGAATCTGAAGATATAAAATATACATTTATTTATATGTATGCAACAAGTGAAATTTGCTAGAAAACTGTTGCAATAGGTTTTAGCATGTATTTTATATAAATGTAATCTTTTTTTTATAAAAATATTGTTTCCGGACTGTGTCGTTTCTGGTTGTTTTTATTCCAATTGTGTTTATTTATTCAAGTTTTATACTTTATTTTTCTAAACTTGTATTTATTTGCTTATATTCAGATAATTGAAAAACTCAAATGCTACATATATGTGATTATTAAAATGCTTTATTAGAAACATATTCTTATATTTAAATTAAAAAATGAGAATTTAAGTAACACCTATCTTCCTCTCTCATTTGAATGAGCTTCTTGTCGACTTCTATTTTTCTCAATATATAGAAATATGAGATTATTTACAGTCAAGTATATACAATCTAAGTACCCAATATTTTTCAGCAATAATTTATGGAAACATGCGTATAAACTCATTTTATGGATATAAGGCACTTACGCTATCATATGGCAGCAGATATATTTCTTTGTATTTATACGATAACCGTCATTTCGCCTTTTCACATTATCTTGCATAAATTACCTGAAACGTGAATGATAGAAGGATTCAGTTTATTTTGTGTTAGATTTACCGCATGCATTCGCGCGAGCGCGTAGGAAGGAAATAAAAATTCGCGCATTTGCAATCCAAAACAGTACAAGTTCGATATGCGCCGGTTCGGCATATCCAGCGAACTTGCCGCGCTTAACACATTAAATGGGCGACTCGCCGCGGTCGTCTGCAAAACAACCGCCGCAACAAAATTTAATTTTCGCAGTCGTGAGCACAAATAGTTCACGTCAATAAAAAATTGATGGATCTATCGTCCGCGATGGATAAAGAAAAAAGAGAACGGTTTTTAGCGGGAGAAGGAGTCCCCGTTGTCTCCTGCTTTCCATTCTTTAGGTGCAACTTCCTGATACATTGCTTATATATATATATATATTGGGTTGAACGGAAAGTTTGTGCCGTTCAACCCAATACATATATCATGAACTTTACAGCCAGTAGACTGCGATACTCTAAGAAATTTACAGTCTGAAAGATATTGCTGCGCGATATATACCGACCTTTCTGGGTTCTCTTTATGTAGAGGAGGAAATCAACGGAGACGGAAGGTCCTCGCGGGATAAGGAGATGATTTCTGTTCTTAAGAGGGTCCACAGAGGGTAGCTGCGTTCCGAGGCCTATATCTCGCCCTTTGTCTCTTTCTACTTCTCACACTTTCACCGCGCGTGCCAGAAGAGAAACACTATAATGCCTGTCCATCTGTCAATCCGACCTTCCCCCATGTGTACCTTCGATCTTTTGCCTACCAAGAACGAAAGCATTCCATTTCAAGCAATCCGTGAATGGGCGGGTGGGGACTTTTGTTTAATTTCGAGATTGCGCCATGAGACACTCGTTTCGAACGGTGTGGCGTGCACAGATGGGACCCCGTGAGTTTTTCCTTCCATGTTTCATTAGGGAGGAGATACTCGATAGCCTGGATGGTTTCCTTGCATAAATTTATCGCCTCGCTTGGAAAGTTTGATCGCGATTAAAATCACCGTGCGATCGCGAAGGAAGTAATGGAGCGCGTTTGTTTTGCTTAGAAGAGAAAGAGAAAAAGAGAAAGGAAAAGAATGTCTTTAAGAAAATTGCAATGTTGAAATATTTGATAGAAAACGATTAGTATAATAAAAATATGAAAACTGTTATATTTTCCGATCAAGATCATCAAGCAAACACGTAAAATTTTAATAATGAATTGTTTGACTAATTTGGGATAAATATTTCCTTTCGAATTAAAAAAGTTAAAACAATGTAAAAAATTAGAGATTTTTAATGAATTCCTATAATTATATGCAATTAGATACAATTAGATAATAAAATAGAATATTATCATTTTTTATTGCATTATTTGTGGAATTAATGTTTAGAAAAATATTATTTGTTTTTGTGTAAGAATTACATAATCCACAAATAATGCAATAAAGAATAATAATATTCTAAGTTATATCTAAAGATATTTTGATCTCAGAGTATTTTGTTAGCCAAACGATGAATAATCGACCGACCTTCATTATGACAACTAAAAGTGAGGTCGTTATATTTTGATTTTGTACCTTCATAAATATTTAAACTAAAAAGTTAGAACCCCCTAATTTAAACTCGCGTACGTGTCGGGCGCGGTTGAGCGTATTAGTTTCGAGTCATATTTTAAAGCGGAAAATTTTCGTTTAACGTCATCAATTTGCCGAGCAAAATTTGAAAACAAACTTCTGTACCTGATGCACACATTCTTCTGTAAAAGCGAACGCTGGTAGTGATCGCCAACTTTTCCTCCATTACAGAAATCCTGGAGGAAGGATTCAACTGATACGCGTCTAAGCCAGGGATTCTAGAAACTGGGTGACCGGCCAAAGGGTCGATTAGAAACAGTACCTCTCTTTTTGTTCAACAAAGAGGATCAAGAAATCTTATCGTACTTGCGGTCCAGTTGAAGAAAAAGAACCAGAAAAAAAGGGAAAACAAAGGAAGAGGTAGAGGAAGGAGAGAGAAAGAGAGAGAGAGAGAGAGAGAAACGGAAAGTGGAATAGGTTATAGCACTTAAATGTAGGCGGAGGATAAGTAGAGATGTCGAGCACAAGCAGAAAAATGGAATTCCAGACATGACGCTCTAAAATCTCGTGATTGGTGTCAGCGCCTGACTGAGGAGATAAGGCTATCTCAGAAGATCGACCGTGATGGAGGGGAAAACAAATGCTTCGTTTGTTAGGTCAATCTTCCGGAACCTCTCGCTGACCTCTCGCGAGCACCGAGCTTCAAACGAGCCACCCGAAGAGGGTGGAAGAGAAGCGGATGCTAGCAACATCATCAATGTGGTCTCCGCAACCGTGCAGAAGGAAAAGATGGCGGATCTTCTGGGTGACGCTCTTTCGAATAACAATAGCGCCGTTGTCGACGGCAGCATAAAATCGAGTTGGTTCGACGACTCGACGACCGACGCCGTCTCGACCTTGTCGGATTCCACCTCTTCCTTCTTCGCAGAATCCTCGTCGTCGTACTCCACCCCGAGCGTGGACAACTACACCGGCAGCGTGTCCGATCTCTTTGTCTTTGACGACTTGAACGATTACATCAACCGGCTCAACTATAGCGTCTTCGTGAACCTGACGGCCTACTACGGCGACGGCTACGGCGCCGGATTGAATCTCAGCAGTGTGAACTGCACGTCGTCAATAGTCGCCGGGAACGCTGTCAGACCGGGGGATGAGTGCGGTACAATTGCCGGTGTCGACGAAAAGTCGAACAGCTGGTGGGCCCTGATACTCGTGATCGTGCCGTGTTTAACGCTCTTCGGTAACGTGCTCGTCATCTTGGCGGTAGTGAAGGAGCGGGCTCTGCAGACCGTCACCAACTACTTCATCGTCAGCTTAGCGGTCGCCGATCTCCTCGTGGCGGTGCTCGTTATGCCGTTCGCGGTCTACGTACTGGTAAGTCCAGACATTTCTCTTTGCAAACCTATACTATACATTTAATCACACAAAAAGATGATTTCCTTTTAATCAAACGTGTGCTTGTACTTATTTTGAAGCACATATCGTATTTATCAAAAAATTTCCTCAAAAGGATAATTTAAGTTTTAGTTTAAATACATAACGCATTAAACAAATATTTGCAATGTTAATTGCTAAACCTGGTAGTAACTACATAAATATAAAATGTTACTCCTATTAATTGTGCTTGATTATTTAACTGTATAAATATAAATTATATAGTTTCATAGATATGCAACTCACACAGCATATAATTTATTTATTCGTTTATCTCGTGTAGTTATCGCAAAAAATTTGCTCTTTAGAGCAAGAAAGCTTTTTATATCTTCTACGATTAAATATAAAACGTTCTAATAAAACCTAAGGATTTAAATATGTTGCTGTATCAACATTAATTATTAGAATTAATATTTTTAATTATAGATTGTGTTGTATGATTGTGTAAATAAGCAGAAAGTTCCAAGGGTGGAGCCTCGCATCGATCGCAAGTTTAGCTGCTAATTAACGCTATCGTTACATAGCGTTTGCATGTACTCAATTACCGCCCTCACCTTCAAAGTAAACGAAAAACTAAATTGAGTAGTGCTCACTTCTTTTCTCAAATATTTTGATCTCATTAATACATGTATCGGCTATTAAAGAACAATATTTTTTTTGTTAATTAGAAGAAAAAAATAAACCACGCAAAAATCGAAATGTCAACTCGATGTCTACAAGAATAAAAATTGAGACCGATCTGGTACAAGAATACATAACATTTTTACCTCATAATATATTGTGATATATGTATTAACCAAGCCAATTGCTTTTTCAATGGAAATGCTTTGAGAGATTCCTAAACGGGCATAGCAATTATTCATAGAACGTTTAGAACAAACGAGACTGTTGTGTTAAGGCAGTTCGATTCAACGCGACAGTTGAAGTACACGCACGTGAATGAAAACAGAATTAGTCAATTAAAGCCATATCGAATAATTCTATGGATGAATGCCAGTGGCGCGGATCGACCTGTTGTAGAGATAAACATGTTAGCTAATACAAACGTTTTCGAATTCGCCTATATCGCGATCATTAAAAACGTTTTGGCACTGCACATAATGCGTTTTATTCGAAGAAGATTTCGAACACTAAACATTGGCTTTTTAGAGTCTTTATATTATTGTACATAAACAAATTATTTATGTCTGTAAAAAATACTATGCAATATCTCCAATTAATCTAAATAAATTTATCTAAATAAATTACTAATTGATTACAACTGATCGATATGACAATATTATCAATGTTTCGATTATATACGGGAGCGAAAAATCAAAATATATTATTAAAATATTACAATTTTAATAAATTAGTAACAAACTAAGGGTTAAAGAGAAACGGGAATACACACTTATAATAGAAAATAAATTATTGTGTGTATCTAAAGAACATAATGTATCAATTTAAAAATATTTCAAGGACTGTGCATTATGTGTGTGTAAGGTAAAATAAAAGTCACGTAAGAAACTGAGACATTGCCAATTATATAATGTCGTTTGGTGACAATGCATGACGCGACAAAATAAGAGATTATATATAATGATCTAAATGTTGAGTATACATGAACGATATGACGTCGCAAACCACCCGCATTGAATGTTAGTTCACCCAAAGGACTTCCATGCAATCGTCGGTTTAATCGCCGATTAAATACACGCTTCATGCTACGACAAAAGCGCTAGAATAGCTACAATTATAAAGATATTATTGAAGCTAAATACTATTCAGACGTGTCTATAAAGCCCCCAAGAGTCCAATATAATTTTCATTTTGTAAAATATATGTTGTAAAAATATATAGATTTTTAATTAGAAAGTAAAGGCTTTTAAGAATGTAATTAGAAAAATGAAATTAGAAAAAAGGCAAATAAAAACCAGCGTGGTAGGTGAAGCGCATATTTTATTATAACTTCCAAGTTCGTTTAATCATATATTTAAGTGAATGTTTTGGTCTCTTTTTCGGACCATTCTCAACGCAAATTTAAAAGCATCAATAATGAAATGGCGTACAAATAATATATTGTAAAATAAAAAAAGTGTCAATCAAACAATACAAACATAAAATAAATGAATCAAAATATTGTCAAATGTTTGTATCCGTGTTTCATCGACTCTTCTTAATTTTATAATATATTTATACGTAATTTTTTATTGATGCTTTTAAATTTGTGCTGAAGATGAGCCGAAGAAGGGACTGAAACACTAAATATGTAATTAAAAGAATTTATAAGTTCTTTTAATAACATATTTAAATAATAAAATATATGCTTCACCGCGCTGGCTCTTGTCTTTTTTTTTTATTTTAGAGTAATTAGAGTAATTAGGTAAAACAAAGTGAAATAAATAAATTAATATGTCCAAGAAAAAAATATATAATATAGATAAAGACTCTAAAAAAATGGAATTATGTGTGTGCGATATCAAAATAATTAAACAAATATATGTAGATATATAGTTTAACATAACTGATATGTATTATATAAAAACAATATAATAATAATTTGTATTTTTAGTACTGTGTTGGAATTTTAGAATTCGAAGAAGAAACACATGATTTAAAATTGCGCTAGACTTTTGTTTCCATCGTTAGCAGGCCGTTTGCTTATCCCGGCACGTCCCACATAAATTATATCGCAGCGTCCACACGTGATCTTATTTTAAAATCGTCAACGGTGCCAAAAGAGTCGAATGATGTATTTCGTTCCTGATGCGCGTTAGATTTTACAATTGCGACAGCATTAAAGCAGAACGGATACGAGTCGCAAAAAAATCACGGCTACAATTTTTCTAAAAATGCAATTCCAACATGGTCCCATAAGTCAATAGCTACTGATTCAAACTAATCGATCGCGATTTTGATAGATCGAACGGGATATAAAAGTACGATTGGTCAATTAGGGCTGCGTACGTAATCCCAAACGTGCGAACACCCGTCAATGCAGTTTTGTGCACATCCGCATACGTCCCAGATTTTCTGTAGCATACAACTTTATCACGATCGTGTGTGCAACGGAATTGTCGACAAAAACAGATTGCAAAAAAATCCCAGATGAAATTTGTTTTCTCAACCCCGTCGCAAAATATTCCTAAAAATTACCTAGTAATTACAATCAAAAGATTTTAGAGAAGTGTCTTACTAAACTCTTCTAATTATTCTACTAAAATAGAATTTACTAAAACTTTAATTATAAAAAAAGATATACATATATAATATATACATATACATATATATAGTATACACGTTGAATTGTTGGGAATAGTTTATTCATTCTAATAGACATTTATCTTGTTAAAGAGATAATATACAATTTTCATACGCATATTAAGAGAGTTTAGTTTACTAGATTTCATCTCATATTAACTTCAAGCAAATAGTTTAGTGTTTCGAGATTAAGTTAATACCAACTTTAACTACAATTTTCGCGTTAACATGGGCGCTCATATAATAACTGGACGCTATATTCCAAGAAAGTTTGTGACTATAATCAATAAGTTTCTAATCGTCAGCGGAGAGACGTGTTCGCTCCGCGACTGTACGACTTTCCTCTAACTCTGCAACGGATGGAGATAGAGATGGGTGTTTTAATTATACCTTAAATAATTCTATCTACCGCTCGTATCCTTGGCATCTCACGGTACCAGCTGGAGAGCGACCAGCATCGCTCCAGATTACATCGGTATGATAAAATCCAGGTGCATCTACGTTCTAAGTGCAAACACGACGAACGTGCCGAGATCGTCCTTCGGCCGCTTAAACGATCGTTCTGGAGTTTCGCATTAAACGATTTACTAGCGGTGCGTGTATTGTGTATGTGTGTGTGTGTATATGTACCGCAACGAAAGTGTCGCCATTGGGTTAGAGCACTTTACGCTCTCTTTGCAGTGTACTTGGTGTGGCAGTGTCATCCTCCCTTTAACAACGAGTGAAAAATGGTTATTTTCTCTCTCTCTCTCTCTCTCTCTCTCTCTCTCTCTCTCTCTCTCTCTCTCTCTCTCTCTCTCTCTCTCTCTCTCTCTCTCTCTCTCTCTCTCTCTCTCTCTCTCTCTCTCTCTCTCTCTCTCTCTCTCTCTCTCTCTCTCTCTCTCTCTCTCTCTCTCTCTCTCTCTCTCTCTCTCTCTCTCTCTCTCTCTCTCTCTCTCTCTCTCTCTCTCTCTCTCTCTCTCTCTCTCTCTCTCTCTCTCTCTCTCTCTCTCTCTCTCTCTCTCTCTCTCTCTCTCTCTCTCTCTCTCTCTCTCTCTCTCTCTCTCTCTCTCTCTCTCTCTCTCTCTCTCTCTCTCTCTCTCTCTCTCTCTCTCTCTCTCTCTCTCTCTCTCTCTCTCTCTCTCTCTCTCTCTCTCTCTCTCTCTCTCTCTCTCTCTCTCTCTCTCTCTCTCTCTCTCTCTCTCTCTCTCTCTCTCTCTCTCTCTCTCTCTCTCTCTCTCTCTCTCTCTCTCTCTCTCTCTCTCTCTCTCTCTCTCTCTCTCTCTCTCTCTCTCTCTCTCTCTCTCTCTCTCTCTCTCTCTCTCTCTCTCTCTCTCTCTCTCTCTCTCTCTCTCTCTCTCTCTCTCTCTCTCTCTCTCTCTCTCTCTCTCTCTCTCTCTCTCTCTCTCTCTCTCTCTCTCTCTCTCTCTCTCTCTCTCTCTCTCTCTCTCTCTCTCTCTCTCTCTCTCTCTCTCTCTCTCTCTCTCTCTCTCTCTCTCTCTCTCTCTCTCTCTCTCTCTCTCTCTCTCTCTCTCTCTCTCTCTCTCTCTCTCTCTCTCTCTCTCTCTCTCTCTCTCTCTCTCTCTCTCTCTCTCTCTCTCTCTCTCTCTCTCTCTCTCTCTCTCTCTCTCTCTCTCTCTCTCTCTCTCTCTCTCTCTCTCTCTCCGCGCGTTTACATCGCGAATTCCTTCCACTATGCTATTTCTCGACAAAATTTC